ACTCTTGTGGGACACTCTTAGAAGACACTCTTGTGGAACACTCTTGTGAGACGCTCTTGTAGGACACTCTTGTGGGACATTCTTGTAGGACACTCTTGTGGGACACTCTTGTGAGACACTATTGTGGGACACTCTTGTAGGACACTCTTGTGGGACACTCTTGTAGGACACTCTTGTGGGACACTCTTGTGAGACACTCTTGTGGGACACTCTTGTGGGACACTCTTGTGAGACACTCTTGTGGGACACTCTTGTGGGACACTCTTATAGGACACTCTTGTAGGAAACTCTTGTGGGACACTCTTGTAGGACACTCTTGTGGGACACTCTTCTGGGACACTCTTGTAGGACACTCTTGTAGGACACTCTTGTGGGACACTCTTGTGGGACACTCTTGTGAGACACTCTTGTGGGACACTCTTGTGGGACACTCTTATAGGACACTCTTGTAGGAAACTCTTGTGGGACACTCTTGTAGGACACTCTTGTGGGACACTCTTGTGGGACACTCTTGTAGGACACTCTTGTGGGACACTCTTATAGGACACTCTTGTGGAACACTCTTGTGGGACACTCTTGTAGGACACTCTTGTGGGACACTCTCGTAGGACACTCTTGTGAGACACTCTTGTGAGACACTATTGTGGGACACTCTTGTAGGACACTCTTGTAGGACACTCTTGTGTGTCACTCTTGTAGGAACACTCTTGTGGGACACTCTTGCAGGACACTCTTGTGGGACATTCTTGTAGGACACTCTTGTGGGACACTCTTGTGAGACACTATTGTGGGACACTCTTGTAGGACACTCTTGTGGGACACTCTTGCAGGACACTCTTGTGGGACACTCTTGTGAGACACTCTTGTGGGACACTCTTGTGGGACACTCTTGTGAGACACTCTTGTGGGACACTCTTGTGGGACAGTCTTATAGGACACTCTTGTAGGAAACTCTTGTGGGACACTCTTGTAGGACACTCTTCTGGGACACTCTTCTGGGACACTCTTGTAGGACACTCTTGTAGGACACTCTTGTGGGGCACTCTTATAGGACACTCTTGTGGAACACTCTTGTGGGACTCTTGTAGGACACTCTTGTGGGACACTCTCGTAGGACACTCTTGTGAGACACTCTTGTAGGACACTCTTGTGGGACACTCTTGTGACACACTCTTGTGGGACACTCTTGTGGGACACTGTTATAGGACACTCTTGTAGGAAACTCTTGTGGGACACTCTTGTAAGACACTCTTGTGGGGCACTCTTATAGGACACTCTTGTGGGTCACTCTTGTAGGAAACTCTTGTGGGACACTCTTGTGGGACACTCATATAGGCCACTGTTGTGGAAAACTCTTGTGGGACAATCTTGTAGGACACTCTTGTGGGTCACTCTTGTAGGAAACTCTTGCGGGGCACTGTTTCGGGACACTCTTGTAGGACACTCTTGCGGGACACTCTTCTGGGACACTCTTGTGGGACACTCTTGTAGGACACTCTTGTAGGAAACTCTTGGCGGGGACTGTTTTGGGACACTCTTGTAGGACACTCTTGCGGGACACTCTTGTAGGACACTCTTGTGGGACACTCTTGTAGGACACTCTTGCGGGCCACTCTTACGGGGCACTCTTGTGGGACACTCTTGTGGGACACTCTTGTGGGGCACTCTTGTGTGTCACTCTTATGGGACACTCTCTTGCGAGACACTCTTGTAGGACACTCTTGTGGGTCACTCTTACACGACACTCTTGTAGGACACTCTTTGTGGGACACTCTCAAAACCACTCTTGTGGGTCACTCTTATGGGACACTCTTGTCGGACATTCTTGTGGGACAGTCTTGTGACACACTCTTATAGGACACTCTTGTGGGTCACTCTTACAGGACACTCTTGTGGGACACGCTTGTAGGACACTCTTGTAGGACACTCTTGTGGGACACTCTTGTGGGACACTCTTGTGTGACACTCTTGTAGGAAACTCTTGTGGGACACTCTTGTAGGACACTCTTGTGGGGCACTCCTTAGGACACTCTTGTGGGACACTCTTAAGGGAGACTCTTGTGAGACACTCTTGTGGGACACGGTTGCGGGACACTCTTGTGGAACACTCTTGTGGGACACTCTTGTGGGACACTCGTGTCGCGACACGGTCTGCCCACACACTAGAAGCAGTCACGCGAGCGTTTCGTACGAGACTTCCTCCAAAAGTCACGCTTCGAGGCTGCAACACGAGCGTTTCGTACGAGACTTCCTCCTAAAGTCACGCGTCAAGTCTCCAAAACGGAGCGTTTCGTACGAGACCTCCTCCAAAAGTCACACGTCAAGTCTCCAAAACGAGCGTTTCGTACGAGACTTCCTCCAAAAGTCACGTGTCAACTCTCCAAAACGAGCGTTTCGTACGAGACTTCCTCAAAAACTCACGTGTCAAAGTCTCCAAAACGAGCGTTTCGTACGAGACTTCCTCCAAAAGTCAAGCGGAAACACCCATCGGAGCACACACATCACGCAGCCCTGCCAAGCAGTTTCGCGATTCCAGCCCCTCCAAACGACACCCGCTCACACTCCAATCCCAATGTGACAGCGACATTCACCTCTACCATAACTCACGACCTCGCGATTCCCTGCGCCTGCCACGAATCTTTCCGCATCCACACGTCTAACGCGCACAAAGTACTGCGCCTGCCACGAAATGTCAACTCCGTCACACCTCGCAACCTCACGATTTCCTGCGCCTGCCACGAAAATCGCACTTCCACACTTCAAAATCAGCACAAAGTACTGTGCCTGCCACGAAAAGTGAGAATATCGTCTCACATGAGCTTCAACAAAATTTGCACCACACCACACGTTTAGAATGATTTCGACCCGTTCTGAGCACACTCCCATCCACCAAAATCGCCATTTCAGCTGAGACTTGTCACGAAAACAGAGCTTCGATGCCACACCCTGAAATGCAAATCCCAATGGCACGGCCACATCCAACACCCCAAAAACACGACTCTCCAAACGCTAATCCCAATGGAACTGCGCAGTAAACTGCGGATCTCTCAAACCACTGCGCCTGTGCAGCGAAATGCATCACGCTTCTTGCGCGACATGTCATTTTCATGCAAATCACAATGGAATAGCGTCGCAAACTGACACGTGACACATCCATGAAAAGTCACTTGCAAAAGCTTCCCCCAATGGCAGCGCCTTAGCGTCCTACTGCGAACGGTTGCGGACGGTTGCGAACGGTTGCGGACGGTTGCGAACATAGAAACAACGGATCGCGAACAAGACTCTACCCCCAGACCCCCAAGAGTTAAACGAGAACCCTTCGCTACGCATTCGGGAAAAAAGTAGATTCGATGCTCAACCACGAGTGGTGATAGGTTGAAACGATTTGAAACGAACTCTTTGCGGCACCGTGATGTGCAAAGCTCATGGATGCAGCCATGTCTTTGTGGTTCTTTTGGCGATTTTTCACACTTCTGTCGCGACGTGCACGACATGACTGTAGTGAAGGCGGCCTTGAGCGTTGACGGAGTCCGAGAGATCTGCCATGCGTCGATTGCAGCGTGGCCACCCCATGGGTGTTTACCCGTTGGGAAACGCCCTCTTCGATGAAGCAGCGACGCGCCGTCGCAGCGAGGGCTTGGGCGACTTCCAACGTTTGGGCGACGAGCGAGTGCTGCAGCTGTTGCGCAGCCTCGATGCCAAGGCCTTGGGCCGTTGCAGCGCAGCTAGCAGCATGCTGAGAGGCTTCACCGCTTCAGAAGAGCTGTGGCAAGTGCTGGGGATGGCGTTGCTGTTGAAGGCAGGTGAGGGAAGAGCTGGGAAGAGCCGCGACGGCCTGAAAGGCGGACATCAGTTACATTGGGGAGGGAACAGCTGGCGAGAAGCTTATATTTGCAGCATGGGTTCGACACCAGCGCAGGGCAAAATGGCCCGTGTTTACAGCGACGTGTTGTATCGTAGTTTCTATTATGCTGCCACAGAGTTGGATCCTGCTTGGCTGGCGACTGAAAACCTGGAGAGGGTCTCCAACCTTTCCACGCAGGACTTCCTGGAACGCTTTGAAGAACGGAGCTGTCCGGTGATCGTCTCTGGTTGCGTGAAGCATTGGCCTGCCTTGAGCCGATGGTCCGAAGAATCCTTGGTCCGGCGATTTGGGGAGATCCCTTTCGCAGCAGGGCCCGTGGACTTCCCTTTGAAGCTCTTCTATTCTTATGCCCATCAGAACATGGATGATGTGCCCATGTTCATTTTCGACAAGTATTTTGCCACACGCGCGCCGGAGCTTCTGGATGACTATGAGGTTCCGAGCATCTTTCGAGGACGGGATTTGTTCAACTTCTTGGGAGATGAGAAGCGTCCCGATTTCCGTTGGCTTCTCATTGGCAACAAGCGCAGTGGATCCAAATGGCATTTGGACCCGTGAGGGCCTCAGCCATGCCCTTTGTTCCTAGTAGCGTCCTTGTTCCTAGTAGCGATGCCAGGAGCCCCTAGTAGCGTCCTAGGCACTTTCTTTGATTTTGTATTTACTTACTTGATCAGAATGAGACCGACAACGAAAAAAAGGTGTTGGTTGTTGGGTGTTGTTTTGTGCGTTGAAGATTCAAGGAACAAGACCTGTGCATGGAATGCTGTGGTGCGCGGCCGCAAGCGATGGCTGTTGCTTCCACCAGGCTCACCATGTGCTGCAGTCGGCACAGGTGTTCCCTCACCTTGAAAAAAGGGTTTAAAGCCGCTGGTGAAATGCTGCTGAAGTGAAAGCTGTGATTGGCCGACGTTCGCAGGTTGCCCGCCACCGGGAGTGCATCCGTGCCACCCTCAGTGAAGCACTATAACATCAACCTGGCCGCACAAGCAAGAAAGGAAGCAAGACAACATAAGCAGAAAAAAACAGGTCTAAAACGTAAGGGTCTATAGAAGAAAAAAGACCAGACGCAAGAATCGTTTTCTAAACGTTGGTTGGCGGGGTTCTGATCCAAATCGGTTATTTTGTCACGGCATCTCTGGCCTGAACGAGGTCCAAAGATGGCGCTGAGGCCTGTCGAAGCATCGCTCAATCGCTCAGCGACGACTGCGACGTTTTTGAGAGCAAACTTCCTTTTCTCTTTGTTTGTTTCTGATAGCGATGGCCTCCAACCGATGGCAGGTCACTCAGCCGGTGAGCTTGCTGGAGTGGTTCAGCAACTTCTACGACGAGCCTGATGCTGAGCGATTTCTGTGCGATTTCTCGCTGGGCCTCGACCAGTTTGCCGCACCAATTTGCTGTCCAAGACTTGGATAGGACACTGCCAAGATCGATGAAGACACTGCCAAGACGTAAACCCTTTGTATCCTTTGTCCGCAAAACACCTCTTGATCGACTGCAGGTTGAAACGTCACGTGGACTTGAATCCTGCATGGGATCTCAAGGAGCTCAATGTACGAGTCGCGATTCCCTTTGTTCCTAGTAGCGTCCTTGTTCCTAGCAGCGATGCCAGGAACCCCTAGTAGCTTCTTGTTACTACTAGTAAGGC